GGATTGACAGCCATCTTAAAACATAGCGGACAAAACAAACCACTAGCGGGAGACTCATAGTGAACACATTGACTTTACAAGCTAATTTTGCCAGACCAAACGTCACATACCGGTACATAGAGACAATTGTAGACACACATTAAGCACCCCATCACACCCCATTGTGCAATATGCAAACTATACAACACATCAAAATTTGAACAATTGTGACTCTTTAAATTTAATAGTATTTATATACGTAATATATCATTTTAAAGTTATAACCTAACAGACAGACTGAAATCCAACACACCAACCAATGATTTAGCACTGACATCAAGATGCACACACAAAATTCAAGAAACATTTAGTTTAAAACAACGTGCTTTCAGAAACACCAACCAGTTATATATTGCTTTGAAATAGACGCTTAGTTAACAATATTTATAACTAACGAACCAAGCGATGTAAACTGCGTAATTCAACCTATAAACACAAAGAGTCAAATCGTTGCTTCTGTCCAGTTCTATTCAATAAATAATCCATCTATTGCAATTTATTTCTTCAAACAACTCTAATAAAAATACTATAAAACGCTGGACAAAGTCGCAGATAATTATGAGATACCAGCAGTGTCAAAAGTCAACAACCACAAACAGTCAAACTTAGAATATTTTCAATGGCTAATAATTATTGTATACTGTTTATCTTTCTCCATATCAAGTTTTGTGATATTATTTGATGGCGTTCATGGAAACGATATTTTGTGAGTCAATGATACTAGTCTTGAAGATTCTGAATCAAATGTTCACTTCTAAATTTTCCTGAATTCATGAATACGCTTGCAAAAATAAAGCTGTTTACTGTACAGTATCACATCACAAAATAAAAGCTGTAATTTAAAAATACTTTATTTTAGGTGGAATAAAACATTTTGGGTGTTTTGTATGGATTTTATTTTCACTAATTTAATCCATCAGGATAAGTACATGTATGTGGATGATCATAAGCCACATAGGTCATGAAGTCATACACAGACACCGGATATAAACCATTATCGGCAACATTGAGTGCCTACTACAACTCTTTATAAACAGATCATTGTCAAGTTCTAGCAACATACTTCAACCAAAACCCAGTATTCAGTGTGTTTACGTAAACTACTGATGATAAACATATGTAGTATATGTTGACTTACTGTTTGGAAATCACTGGAAGTTACTGAAGTTGACAAATTAGACCATGAGTGTATTGAGGTAATTTTAGCAACATGTGCTCCAGTACTGTAAAAGCATTTATTTTCAATGACATTTAATTTTGATATTTTGACGTTTTGAGCAATTTCACTGGGTTCATGAACTTGACTGTGAAACATTAAGTTCTATTGTTATTCTACATGTTCACATGAGTTTGATTTTAAGTGAATTTTACTTATCAGCAAAAAAAGAGAATTTAAAAATCAACAAATTGTTATTGCATTTACTGTACTGTAAAATACATTATTTTCGCTTGGAATTTATTTTCGCTGAAAGGATGACTCAGTAAAAAATAAAATCCAGTGAATATCTTTTTTTTTCTATATTTCACATTCAACTCATCACAAATCAATAAAAACAAGATCAATACAAAACACCCAAAAAGGCTTTTCAGCGAAAATTAATTCCAGCAAAATAAAGTATTTCATTATGTCAGCCAAGATACAGCCAGCCAAAGTGCTATATAATCTAAATGGGTAACTGCCATGATTCCATGGTGCAATTAATCCCAAAAAGAATTGACTAGCTTATTCATCACTAAGATAGAATAACCAGTTATAGTCAGGAAACAACATGAAAAAGACATACCAGTATACAATGAAATATCTATTGAGAACGGAAAGTAACTAACTTTCAAAATAATTTCATATTTATTGATAATACAAGTATCTCAATTTGAAAGGCTTCAGTAAATAGCAGCCACATATAAATAAACTCTTAATACTAAACTTAAATTGTTGCTTACTACCACGCCGCGGCACTGACAACGATGTAAAACTGAATAGCAAACAAATGTGGACTCTTAATCTTGTTGTTTATTAGAAGTGATAACAGACCAACGCAGACTTCCTGAAATGATTTGATCGTAATAGCCACTGTGAAGTGATGATGTCCATATTTATAGTTCATAGTACAGCACACATAATCAGTGCATTTATTTTATGAACTTACATTTTATTACCATACTGGCTCAGAAATTAACTTCCATTACTAGAATCTGACCATACAAGATCTTTGCAAGAATTTGTATATATTGGAAATGTGATGAGATAGGTGCAAGCAAATTAGTGAGAAAATAGTGAGACTTTGATCAGATTTTAAGTTTCCTCTTTAATTTGCATTAAATATAAAAATATTTTATCAGTGATAAATATTCCTGTCAAAATTTTGTAGAAATTTGTAATGTACCCATATCTCTTGGATATTCCTCAAATTGCAAATAATCCTCCCTTAAAAGGAAAATAAAGTATTTTATAGTAAATCAAGTTTCATTTACAAACAGTATGCCTGTAACAGAATTGATTTTGGAGGAATCTGGAGTCAAAATGGAATCCCCCAAAATCAATTTGTTTCAGTTGACTGATGGGAACGTCATAACAGCATAAAAATCACTCACTTGTGTCCTGATTCATGCGCTATCGTAAATGCTAAACCAAGTCCTGTATCTTCATTTATTGTACAGCTACGATATTTACTACACATACCATTAATGGGTGCAAATCCTGTAAAAAAAAAAATTAACTATTTTTTTAAAATATTCTGATTTTTTATTTATTTATTCTGATATCACCAACAGAAAAACAAATCTGCAATCTTTGCTCAAAGTCAAAGAATGAAGTAGAAGATGAATACCACTTTGTCACTACCTGCCTTTTTTACATCGATCAAAGACAGAAATTATATGAAGAAGCCAGAAAACAAATAAATGATTTCACAAATTTGACAGCAGAAGTGAACAAATTCATAATAATCATAGGTAATTAGAACACTGACATGAATGTTGAATTAGCCCAATTTATAAAAAAAAAAAATTGATCATGAGATAGCAACATCTTCTTCAGAAGATTGGGACAAAAATAGCCAATTTTTTGGGGATGAAAACTAAACATTTACCTAAATTTTGTGTTGTTTTCAAAATTAGGATTCATTTCCAAAAATATTGAAGAATACAAGAAAAAAATGCAGAAAAATGTGTGCGTCTGGTGGTGAAAAGGTTAGGCTTACTATGTGCGAGCATACATGTCTGTAGTGATGTATTCAAGTTGTAGCAGTAGTTTGTTATGATGTGCTAATATTTCGTCCTGAATTTAGTCTTTTTGTTCAACATAACCATTTTAATAAATCAAATAAATCTTAATTATTTCCTTTTTTTCTGTACTGTATTCCCACAAACAATCCACATAGGTGTACAGTTTATATAAGATGAGGTTATTACATGTACATGGGTACTGCAAAATATGCACAAAGACGTCCCAAAATGAGCTTACTGATGAATGCATATCATAGGTCGTCTACTACACATACTTTTCGGTAATATTGTAATAACCTTATCTTTGCAATCCAAGCACTTGACTGAGCAAAATGGGAAATATTATTGGAACTTAGTTTTCCAAAAATGTCTGTCACCTTGAAAATACCATGGAATGGTTTCATATTTGAAATACACATTTTGCTAATTAGGTAAAATGTGAATATGAAGAGCTTCCCAATCAATTCCAAAACAGCAAAATTTCATAGTGAGAAAGTTTCACAAGCACATGTGGACCTTAAATTAACCAACATTCTACCAAGTCAACTAGGCCTGATCACAAGCACATATAAACCTTAACTGCATCTGTTAGTGAATGAATCTTGCTTGACCAGTGGATTTAGCCTCTCCATCGAGTCTGTGGCACAATCTCTATGCTATAGACTCGGGCCTAATATAACTGAGCATTCCAGACATTCAAACGCTTTCGGCGTTTGATGGGAAATGCAAGGCATTCGCAATTTATTCACGCCTATTACGTTTATACACAATATTTATTAATAATAACAGATTAATAACATAGTTGAACTCTGGTGACCTTGCCCTTTGTTATATAATATAATTCCCTTTATCATAGTTTGTTTCAATATAAATATGCATTGTCATAATTAATTATGAATACAAACAAGTTTTGGGGTTGAACAAACAGTGGGGAATCAGTCTACCGAATGTCCTTAAAAGAT